AGCGCAGTCGAACCCCCACCTTGGTGCTCCAGCCCACACCGCCTGGTCCACAGCAAACACTTGACCTGGATGTAATTAATAAAATAAACAGAAAAGACGTTGATGACTGGACAGCCATTCACGCGACCTTTATACCCAGCGGAAGCTCAAGCGCATCTATCGCCAGAGAACAAGATACCGGAGAACTGCCACAGCACACCAGACCAACAGTCATCATCACGATGTCCGGTGCCTTTGCACAATGCCCTGCAGCGCCGAAGTCACCCACCATCGCAGCTGGCGATTTCAGGCGCGCTGAACCCACAATCGGTCCGGCCGCAACATCTCACACGCTGGCATTCAGACGGCTAATGCAGCACACACTCCTTGAACAAAGGACACTTGAACCTGCACTCAAAAAGCCACATTTCCTTCTCTTCTTGTCTCTCCACCTCCTTTCGTCTTCGGAGCCAGAAGTAGCAACGCGATTCCAAGTTTCTGATGTTCAGACCTATAGGGAGCGGACACTTTTGTACTGATGGATGGCAGTATGCTTGTTCTGGGAACTTATGACGTTACCGATGAGACACGTACAGTAGATGTGCTAACTCACCAAAATTTCGAAATGCGTTCTCGTTTCGAAAAGATAAATTAAGTAGTGTTGTAGATCTAATCATGATGCAGCATAAATCTATGATGATCCAGTTACCTCAGTGTGTCGGCTTTCGAAAGAACTTATTTTTGGCTGCATGCAAGATCTATACTCTGCAAAAAATGACTACTTAAGTGGTATGCAATTTTCTCATTGATTTTCGATGCCCTTGAAAATTCAATCATATTTAATGGAAAACATGCATAAAAATATTTATGCTTTTACGTATTCGGTAGAAAATCACGTCTTCTTCCAATTTCATGCTCAAATGAAGATTATAAATTGGTTTTAAAAAAGTTTCTAATTGTGAGATTTTTTAATACCGTTAAATGGCCGTTCATGAAACGTCATCTAACAGCATTTACGAATGTGACTTGTAAAGTTAAGAATATTGCTCAAATCCACTGCTTAATTTTATGAACCTCATATGGTCTCCTCTTAACACCGTAGAGAAATGCATGGTTTTCCGTGCATGGAAAATTATACAGCTTGTAGATCTGAAACCCTGAATGCAATTTTAACAGTAGATCGGGTTCAAAATTATTCGAGAATTATAAAAGTTTTTTTAAAAACAAAATTATACTCTTTTTGAGTATTAAGTTGGAATAAGACGTGATGTTCTACCGAATAAGTAAAAGAATGAATATTATTATTCATGTTTTCCACGAAATATAATTGAATTTTCAAGGGCATCGAAAATCAATGAGAAAATTGCATACTACGTAAGTAGTCACTTTTTTGCGGAGTATAGATCTTGCATGCAGCCGAAAATAAGTTCTTTCGAAAGCCGACACCCTGAGGTAACTGGATCATTATAGATTTATGCTACATTTTGATCAGTTTTACAACCCTGCTTAATTTATCTTTTCGAAACGAGGACGCATTTCGAAATGTTGGTTGACATTTCATGAGTTAGCACATCTACTGTACTTCAAACGAGCGAAGGAACATCTCTGTTTTGGCTGCGTCTGAAAACTCTTTTCTAAAGTGGAGGACAGAGAAATGAAACACAGGGCATTGATCCAGGCAGTAATGTGTTCGCCTGGTAAACACACGCACGGATGCGTAGAAGTCAATAAATGTAAGCCACATTTGGCGCAATTTCACCCCAGTCCATCCAAAGCGAAGATGGATCCCGTCAGATCGTATTATTGTTCACCTTCAAGGCAGTTCTGCCGTGGTGTGCTAGTGGATCTGCAGGTATTCCAAGAGATGGAAGCAGCCGTAACTTTTAAGTCACCTGGCACGGCACCTGGAACGTTCTCTCGTCGCACATTTATCGCGTTCCAATGAGAAGACAAAGTCGGACAACCAAAAAGAGCTGCGGGTTCATTGACCTACAAATTTATATATAGTCCGTCTGCACATTCCACACACAACCAGGTTCCTAAGGTCACTCGTGCAGATAAACACTTTAGGAGAAGAAGAAGAAGAAGAAGAAGAAGAAAAAGAAGAAGAAGAAAAAGAAGAAAAAGAAAAAGAAGAAGAAGGAGGAGGAGGAGGAGGGGGGAGGATGAGGATGAGAACGAGGAGGAGGAGGAGGAGGAGGAGGAGGAGGAGGAGGAGGGAGATGTACGAAAGTTACAGAAGTGAGAAGCTACGTAAAGGCCACATTGATAGGAAGAACCTGATCTTCGGTTCTGAATAGAATTTACGGCCGTCAGTGCACCATGGTATTCCAAGTGATTGAATTTATTATAGCGAGGAGTTGGCTGATTTGCTATAGGAAATGATTCCCCAAAATCCCTCTCTCTCCCTCCCGTTTCTCCTCTGTCATAGGCCAATGACCTGTACGAGCCCTTATGATCGACCAGGGATAAGATTGGACTTCATTGCGGCGTTATGTCGGGTTTTATCCAACGCTTGTCACACGAATGTACGTACAGTAATGGTTAAAGACTCAAGCAGACTCAGTGCAGCCCAACAAACGCACGAGGTTAGCCAATGTTGCCTCCGGACGCAACAACAGAGCAGCCCGTGTGAGGAGGCACACGCAGAGCCCACCGCCTTAGTTTGTAGCGGACAGCCATCATGACCGGTCTGGCGTCATGGCCTCGCTGTCTCAGTGTCGTTCACCCCTTTGCAGTGAGCCGTTTCAGACGCGCCGACCTGCAGTCATACGACCGACAGCTAGGGCATACCTGCGTCCGCACAGCCGCAGATGCCCAGGAGGCCACTTGAACGCACCGTCCCCCCGCAACCACAACCTACGCCACTGGGATACCACCCCTCGGCACTGACTGGACACCACTTGAGCTTGGCCCACGAGCCTACAAAAGCGGCTGCCACCACTGTCTCGGTGACTCTCAGGTATGACTGGACCCAGTCAACACCAGCCCTGGCTTCGCCAGTGGCCACTGCCGCCTGAGAGGACAACTGCGGGTTGTGTATACCTTAAACCCCAAAATCTGGTGCCTTCAGTCTTCTCCTTCCAACATGGGGTTTGACTTTATAAAAGCCCACCGTCTTAGTTCCCACCCCCACTGTCGGCATGGCTGCAAGTGAAGGCAGTTCGCGCGGGAGGTGTTATAAACGGGGTCGGTGCGCTCATACTGTTTTTACTGGCCTTTAGTGCGTATGACCTTATTACCTAAGATAGCTGTCGGTGTTTTGCGAAATCTATCCGTAAACCGTGTGGGCAGTGAGTTTTAAAACCTCTTTGTCCTGCCATCTGTAAATGCCGTGACCCACGGCTGTGAGCATTTGCTGGTTTCTGCCAGAGCCTTAGCCTCCAGTCCATGTGCAGCCGTCTTTCAAGGTTTAGAGATGCCTGTTCTGTCCTGTATACCCCGGATGGCATACTGCGATTGCCACAACTG